TAAGAGTCTCAAATAACAATGTGCGCAAATAAACTACATTGTATAATCAAGTCTCATACTTGCTACGTGATCCCTGAAATTCTTTAGTGGCATGCCTTTAGTCAAGGGATCAACAAGCATCAACTCTGTACTAACGTGTTTAATGAGTACTTTATTTTCCTTGACACGTTATCTTAAGGCTAAATACTTGATGTCGATGTATTTACTTCCACTCCCACTCTGTTTTTTTTTTTTATTTGCCATAAACACCGCAGCAGAGTTGTCACAGTACAACTTGATCGGTCTAGAAATAGAGTCAATGACTCTAAGCTCGGATATGAAACTCTTCAACCATACACCATGCGAGCTAGTCTCGAAACATGAAACAAACTCAGCCTTCATAGTGGAAGTAGCAGTGATAGACTGCTTTGCACTTCTCCAAGAGATAGCTCCACCAGCCAACATGAACACATAACCCGATTTGGATTTCCGAGTGTCAATGCAGCTAGCGTAGTCCGAATCGGAGTAGCCAATCACTTCCAGGATATCAGTTTGTCTATATATGAGCATAAAATCCTTCGTACCTTGAAGGTACCTCATATAATATCCCTTTATCATTAGTTGTAAGCAAAATATCATCCAAGTACAACTCAAGGAAGCAAATACGACTCCCACTAACATTCTGGTATATATAGTGATCTATGACGTTTTCTTCAAAACCGAATGAAAAGATAACATCATGAAATTTCAAATACTATTGGGGAGGCTTGCTTCAATCTATATATAGATTTATTAAGCTTACAGACTAAATTTTCTCACATTCCTCCATCAATAATTTTTCATCCTCTTGAACACACATGGTCATCAATTCATTGATGGACCATTTATCTTTATGTGTATTGTAAAATAATGTCCCACATCCAAATTATGTGCTCGCGCACACCCCTCACACCTGTGAATCTAATGGTGGAGAACTGAATGACTGGCATAATCAATGTCCATCCAACCTAAATGAAGGAGGATCATTTCCTTCCAGATTTCGTAATTATCATCAGTCAATTATGGGACATCACACTTAATATCAGAAAAATTTATAAGATTAAACACTTCAAAATTAAATATACATGCTCATCAATGAACGAGACAAGTAAATTACATGTTCTACCAATATAAACATGTTAAAACATGAATCTAGAGACATAAGACTTGCATGTGGGCTAAAGTTTTACTCAATTAGATTTCATCAAAAACTTTACAATAAAACTATCAACTTGCGTTCCTTTTCTCAATTCCTATGTGTAGATTAAGAAATACAACTCAATATTTTATCCTAATAATTCATATAAACATAATAAGACTCCTGTGGGTAGATCTAATCACATCGTACATGATAATTACAATCGATGTCTATTAATGTGATTTCAAATAAATCATAAATAAATTTTTAATTAATCGAGGATGCTGTGGCTATTCCCCAATTAAATAAAATTTAAAACAAATCACAGACATCATGAATATATAATATGAAGTTCACATAAATAAATGAGATTAACACCATCAGCATGCTTCAATCAAGAATATAGTACAAATATATGCAAAATAATAATGATAATAATAGTAACGATAGCACTGCAGAAAGAATAATAATAGCAATATTACCACTACAGAGTACTACTGCAACAATACTAAATGTCGCACGGATATCGAGGCATAATGTTTATTCAAGGCATAATATTCAACACGTATAATCTCAATTGTAACCGAAAGATGTGATTTAGAAATTTGATATTTTGAATTAATTAATTTCAAAATAAAACTCAAAATTTTTTCAAAATATAACGAAATTTTCTCAAATAACAGGATCGGATCTTGATCAAAAAATATCACAAAGCAATTGTTGAAAATAAAAAAAAATTCCAAATAAGAAATTAAAGCGAATCTTGATCAAGAATTTGACGAGAAGAAAATTCAAAGCAAGGCAGAGGCAAAAATTGCTCTGATACCAAATGTTAGAAAATAAACATATAATCAAATATGTTAGCGGAAGCGGAATTTAAACAAACCTTCAGCCATTGCTAAAAATTAAAGTTATTCTCGATATTCTTTTTTTCAAGCAAACGGTAGATTGGAACCGTGGGAAGATGGTGTTGCCAAACTCTGGAATCATTGAAAGGATGTTGTCAAACGAACCTTGTGAAGATGTAGCTAGATCCTGGAACCCTAGGATGACGTTGCCAAACCTTGGCTCTTAAATAGCGATGGTGTATTCTGATTTTCTGAGAGTAGGTTTAGTAACCCGTATGTGAGAGTATTTATAATAAAAAAGAGAAACCGTCCATCACGATTTTTCTGCCACTTCTCACGTATATTTTTTAATGTGATAGACTTAATGAGAGAAAAGTGGGCCACAATTTAAGGTTAGTTTAATTATATAATATAATTAAAAAATAATCAAAATTCAAATATGATTAATTAATTAATTAAACTAACATTGCAAATATCTCTAATCTGAAAATTCAATCAGAATCAAACCAATTTTTAATTTAGATTGCGATTATTTTCGTCGGTTTACATTGGTTTTTTTTTTTTTAAAAAAATTAATAAATTTGGATTTTCATATCGATTTGAATTTGGCAAAATTCTAACCGAAAATCCGAATAGTTAATACCCCTAAGAAAAAGTGAATGAAAAAAGCACAAAAAAACATATACGAAAGTTGTTTATTCTTTTTTATATTTTTTTTTCTTTCCTGTTTCTTGCAATTACGTACAAAATATTTTTCCCTACCTAAGCTAGTGACACAAGAACAACCCTCCACCATTTTATTATGTACGTTCTGATTATTACATAAGTATATGAAAACACGACCCAAATTTCTCTAGTTATGAATATATAATATATATGTATATATATAAAGCAATTAATGCATTATATTTATTTATACGAAGGAGGTCAAGAAAATGTCGACATCGCCAATCTCTTCGTCGCCACGTCCAAAATACCTGCATGAGGAAGAGGCATCGAGCCAAGAATTCAAGAGCTTCATTTCGATCGACTCTATCATGTAAAAAAGGATGGATAGTAGTGATGAGATATTTTAAATATTTAATTTATGGTTTAAATTAAAATATTATTATTCATCGTATTAATAAGATTAAGGCTTTGTTTGGATTGATTTCCGGCATGAGTTTTTGACTTGTGCTTCTAAAAAAAATATTTTGTACCGATTTACATTAATTTTTGTCGGAAAGTAAAAACAATTTTTTAAGCTAAAAAATATATATATATTTTTAATTTCTGAAGCACATTGGAGGTAACTTTTTAAATAAGTAGAAGCACTTATCAATATTCTCACACATAATTCATTTGCATTGGATATGATTATTTAGATAGTGAAAATTAATAAGTTACTTATAGTAAATTAAGATACTTTCTCCGTATACCCAAAAACTATATATATTACTATTTTGGATTATCTTATTATATGGTGAGAATATCAAACAATTATCATAAAATAAAATTTGATAATGAAAATAATTTATCGAAATAAAGTTGACATCAATATAACTTATCAGAATAAATTCGATATAAATATAATTATCAAAATAAATTCGATAATCACGCCGAGTCGAGGTAGAACTTCTTTTTCGAAAAAGAATATTTTGATGTATTGCGAGAATATCATCGCTCGATCAAATTGCGTACATTATGGATATTGTTGGCAATTCGAGTGTAAGCTTGACTGGCATTGATCTTCCTAGTGTGTCGCAGATGCCGTTTAGAGTCTCATTCGTCAAAACACTTTTCTTTCATTTTCAATTCTCTCATACAGTACAATGAACTGAACTTACACTTTTTTATCAAATAAATTTTTTAATCCATTTGTACTTTCATAAGTAATGAAAATTGCAGCTTTACAATACTAGTATATTCGGATTGATTGCTTGCTTTCATTCCTTAATGTTTAAATCTCTCTATCACAATGCAATTAATATTGAACAAAGAGCACTGGGAACTTTGTAAAATCTTCGATTGAACACTTACAACTTGAGTAGTCATCCAATATTTTACTACTTGGAGTTGGCAAAGAATCTACAGATTCAAACTCCATTCCGAAAGAAAAACTAGAAATAGTTAAAAAATAATTATAAGTAGCAAGTCATGCATGGAATTGAATTTGAATATGAAATTAATTGCCAATTTTCAGCTGAATTTTCAGTGCAAGCCTGACAACTAATTTGTACATTATATATATATATATATATATATATAAACAATAAACAGGAAGATAGAGAACTTTTAAAGACGGCATACTTAATATATGCTAGTTCTTCAAACGACAATTTCAACCCGAAATTATTCCAAAACGAGAAGTATGCATATAACTTCACAAAACATTACATTAAAGTTCAAACCATTATTCAAATCAAAATCCAAACCTCCAAAAAATCCGTGGTCGCAACTAGGAATTAACATTTAGGTATAAATTAAAAGAAAAAAGAACAAAAAAATTACATTTAAAGTGGGAGGGCCAACCTGCTGCCGCTCTCCCCCGGCCGACAGGCTGCAGTCGACGGCATCTGGCCAAGGGGCCGTTCCAAACAAAATAATAATAATAAAAAATACAGTTCTCTCATCAATTACCATTCAAAATCTTAACAAAATTAGCTCCAAAAGTTACCTAGATCTGTGAAGTCGAGTAGGGGAGGGCGGCCGGCGGCTGACGTCGTCGGGATAGGGGTCGGACTCGGGGGAGGGCCGGCGTCGTAAAAAAATAAATTTAGGGTTGTGTTGGCAACGGATTGTATTGTGTGGTGTAGAATGTGAAAAATAGATTTAAGATAGTATCAGTCACGGAATTAGCTTACGAAACCTGAGGGGCAAATACTTATAATTTTTTTAATATTTAATAAATAAATAAATAATTTAATAATTTTATCTTTTAGCAAAAGTTCAACATAAACAGAAAATATTTTGAGGGGGCAATTTATATCTTGGATGTCCCATGCTTTGAACTCGTCTCATAAGCGACAGGGTATTTCACCGGCCGTGATGAATGCTTGGGGGAAAATAGAATCAGCTCGGAATTTCGCCACCTTAACGGTGCAGCTGGATGAAAGCCAGAGACAATGCCTGTACGACGTACGAGCCCTACATCGCCTGGCAGAAACAGCACCAAATGGCGCATACAGCACAACTAGCCAAGGTTCCCTCTTGTTTCAAAGTCTTAACAGGTTTTCCATTTCAGGCCTGCTCAAGCTCACAATGCTTTTGGAGATAAAGAGATGGGTATGAACATAGTTTGTCGTCCGGATCGTTGTCGCAGATCGGCCTTTACCGTTCCAGATACGTCGCGGCTTATCGGTCAAATACATAATTTTTTATATAAATTTTTTTATTTTAAAAAAAATGATAATAAATTATTAAAATAAATTAAATCATAAATATAATTAATTTAGAGAATATATAATATTATAAAATATATTATAATTTATAGTAAACTAAAAACTTAAAATCTTATCTAAAAAAATAATTTTAAATAATAAATTTAAGTTGTTTTAAAATATTAATTTTAATAAAAATCAATTTGTATAAATTAAATAAAAATTAAATACAATTTAAAACTATAAAATTTATAAATTAAATAAACAAATTAATTAAAATAATCTAATACCAGCTCCAATCCAAAACTTAAGTAAACAAATTAATTTTACATTATATTTACAAGGATTGGCGGTAAGAATTGGGTGGTTTGCGTCGTTGACGGGGAATTGGCGGCGGTTGGAAAGAGTGAAGAGGAGCGATTTCAACCAGGTGGTGCCTGATTTGGGGAAAGCTATGGTGAAGATGTCGGAAGATTGAGGATGGAAGTTTTGCTGGAAATTAATGACACCTGGAAGAACACTGAGAGGATACCAGAAACCTTGGTACTGGTAGATAGAGGATCCGAAATGCATTTTCTTGTGGGGGAGGGAGGAGACGGAGCTCTTGAATTCTTCACTTACTGCTTCTTCCTTTTGCAGGTAATATGGCTTCGAATTAGGGTTTCCATTCGACGACGACATTTCTTCGTTTTTGAAGCTTTTGGTGTGTAATTGATGCAGTAATGATGGAGCTATATGGATATCCTCCCTCCTGCTATACTGTAGACACAGTATAAAACGAGTATAATTAGTAGATAATTAAAAATTTATTAGTGAATATATATATATATATATATTTGAATATAGTGCCAATAATAATGAAATTACAACCAAACTAACTCTCAAGTGTTACTTACCATGCAAGATAAAATGGGGAAAATAAAGAAATTTTTACACGGCTTATCGGCATTTAATTGTAGCTTCAGGATATTGAGGGCTTTTCTTTTATTTATTTATTAAATTAGTGTTTAATTTGGATTTAATTTCTTACATTTTGACAGTTTGTGCTTACTAGCTGTATTCAAATTAATTTTCTTGTTTTTAGTTTGATTCTTCAATGTTGCGGGCACTTCAGCATACATATATATAAATGAATACGAGGGGAATTGCTTGTTGATTTTAGAATGCGAAAATATTATTACAAAACATATTTTGAATAAAAATCATTAAAATCTTATTGTAAATCTTTTAAGGTCAAGTGCGAGCGAGTCAAGAAACTAATATTTAGATGAACAAGTATGATCACACTCTTTAGTTATGTTATCTTGTTTTATACATATATGTTTCGTTGTTTTTCTTTCACTATTCGCTCATTTCATCCATGATAATCTAATCATTTCCGAATGCACAGATCACACACAACTAGAGCTGTCAAAATGGGTTGAGCCCGTCGGGTTGGCCCGCGCACTTTACTTTTAAAGAGGGTTGGGTTGTGATTTTTTAAACCCGTTAAAATGCGGGCCTAAATGGGCCAACCGTATGAGTCGCGGGTTGAGGGTGGGTTAGCTCGCAGTGGGGCGGGTTAGCCCGCGGGTCAAGTAAATATAATAATTAGTACTCACTTGTCTAAGTAAATGTATTTTTTTACTATTTTTTACTGTCTGTATTAAAAATATATAATAAAACTAATCAAATATTAATATAACAATATATTTTAATTTTTTTATAGATTACAAACATACCATTATAAATACGAATAAAATAAAATTTATATTATCACTAACTTAAATAAATTATCAATATTGTCTATACGCTATTTTTCTTCTCTAATTATGTTATTCATGACATTGTTATTTGTTTCGATTTTTTATCATTTTTTTGTTCGTCTTCCATTTTATTATTTTATAATTTTACAAATTCATAAAATTAGATATGATTTATTTTTAAAATGAAGTATTTCTTATTATTAATTTTTTTTAAATACACCAATTAATAATATTTAGAATTGAGAATTTTTATATTTTTTATTTATTTTAAAATATTTATTATTTAAATCTACAATAAAACTGTTTTTAGCTATTTTTAAATATTAATTACGAAAATATTTATAATATTAATATTCTTTTAATATTTTTAAAAAGCCCGTGGGCTAACCCTCTTAGCTCGCCACCCGTCGATCGGTGTGTTGAGTTGGGCTGATAAAATTTTGATCCACCCCGTGCGAGTTGGCCCGCAAACAACTCGCTTATTTGTGGGTTAGGGCGGATTGTGGGTGAATCTGCCCCACTAATCTGTTTTGATAGGTCCACCCACAACGTTTTTTGTTTCTTTCTGACAAGAAAATTAAAGACCATTTCTCTACATTCTTATCGTTGTTATTATTGTCGCTCACACGCCCATTATCATTTTCATTCATTGCTCCACTCACCAACAAACTCACTGAATCCGCTGCTCCGGTCATCACCACTGGCCGCTCACTCTTACTGCTTTATTTACTTTATTGCAATTTACTGTTTTCGGCTCGTTTTCCAATGAGCCACCCCTACTGTTTTTCCGATTTAGCTATACTTAATAATTATTTTTTGATTTAATTTTATAACTTAAAATCTTTGTGTTCGACTTGAAAATTTACCGGTCAAATAGTATAAAATTAATTATGATATAATATTTTAGAGTCTACAAAAACTTCATTTTTATTAAATTATATATCTGACCATTACCAATATGCCAAGATTCAATATTACTTTAATTCATAAAAAAATCCTATTTGTCGAAATGCTAAATATCTTCAGCTACTAATATAGCTTACTAGTGGTCTTTCAGAAAAATAAATAAATAATAAGTGGGGAAACTAGTGGTCTTTCAGAAAAATAAATAAATAATAAGTGGGGAATGCATTGCATTGGACCGAAGATGACAAATTCAAGGAATGATTTAAGTGTGTGTTTGGTTTGAGATTTGAATTTTGAATTAAAACAGTTGTATTTTCATTCATCTATCTATATATCCCATATATATGCAGTTATGTCTGACATGGAACACATGTGAGTGCATAACATAGAACGGCCTGTCATAGACATCACAGTAAGTCTGGATCTTATAACACGGGCCTGTTTATAGCAAATACGACTGTGATGGAAAACAACTCTAAGGTTAAACACGGCTTGTCTTCGATCTGATTCAGTCGCTACCTCAACTTCATTACAATCACGTCAGCATAATTTGTTGAAATTTAAACGATGGAACAAAAAATGATAATTTGTATTTCGTATGACATTAATTTTGATAATTTATTTTTTTTAGTGGGACCAAAAATGAAAATATTGGATTTGAATGGGGCTAATAATAATTTTTGCATAACCAATTAAATACTACTCCTTTCGTCTCTGATATAATGTCATGTTACTATAGATAGGGGTGTCAAAAGTAAACACGACTCGAAAAATCGAACCCGTTCGACCTGAAATTTTTCAGGTTTGGGTTTGGGTATTTCGGGTTTGAAAAAAATCAGGTCGACCCGAATCTGAAACGTAAAAAATTCGTGTCGTGTTCGGGTCGTATTGGGTATTTCGGGTTTGAAAAAAATCAGGTCGACCCGAATCTGAAACGTAAAAAATTCGTGTCGTGTTCGGGTCGTATTTTGGGTTGACCTAATAACATGAAATATCAAAATCAGGTTAGGTTTGAGTTTCGTGTTTCGGGTTGACTTTTATTATTATTATTTTAATTTATAATATTTATATTATTTTAAATATAAAATAATATAAAAATTAAAATAAAAATGATATTTTTTAGGTCAATTTAATTTTTTTTTAAAATTTTCGGGTATGTTTCGTATCGGGTTCGTATCGGGTTTGTTCGGGTTTCGGGTGACCTGAAACTAATTAGGTCAACCTGAACCCGATTTGAAAGAATTCGTGTCGTGTTCGGGTCTAGGGTTTCAGGTCAGATTTCGGGTTCGGATCGGGTTCGGGTTGACAGTTTTTTTGTTATCCTCATAGCTCAATCCGACACGAACACGATCCAAAAACACGAATTGACACCCCTAACTATAGACATTAGAATCTAGGAGAGTTATGTTTAGTAAATAATTAATCATATATTATTAAAATAATTATAATATAAAAAAATAATTATAAATTAAGGTTGAGATAACTAATTACTATAATTAAAATTTTTAAAAATTCAAATTTGAAATTTTTAAATATAATTAAAGTGTGTTATACTTTAAAAAAAAAGTGACATAAGATGTTGGAACGAATAAAAATAAAAAATGTGACATTACATACGGAGGCAGATGGAGTATTATTTTTTAATCTAATATAAAACTCCAAAAGGATACATTCGAGTGAGACTGGAAGAGTATTTATTTTTAATAATTCATAATTTATAATATTTATAATATTATTTTTAAGTACTTATAATTTATAATATTTATATTGTAAATTATAGTACTATATATTAAAATTATTTCTTCTAATATTAAATTTTGATTATTTTTTTATATTTTAAAATAATTATGAAAATATTTTTTTTAATTATAAATAAAATATATATATATATCAAATAATTTGAAAAAAAGAAAATGAACATAACAATGAATATAACCTAAAATATAGCATGTTTAGAACATAATTGTGAATATGAGCATGAACATCGTTTTGTTCCGAACATGAATAGGAACATGGTATAATTATTAGTATTTTATCTATATATAAAACACATTGGCGTAGGACTGATCGATTATATTATTTTTTCTATTTTTTTGAAATTTTGTAATGAATTACTTGTATTAATTATTCTAATTAATGATCATATTGATAAAATTATAATTATCGAAATTAGTCTTATTATGATTAATAGATATAATTAGATAATAAACAATATTATATCTAACATAATTTTTATATATAACATTGGTGTGGATTCTACCGATTATTTTTCTCCTTTTTTATTTTTTAATAAATTGATTTTCATTAACTAGTCTTAATTAATAGACATACTAATAAAATTATAATTATTGCAATTAATATAATTATAATTAATAGATATATATATATATATTAAATAAATAATATTATATTTAAGATAATTTTATTTATATATATAACACAATGGTGTGAGTCCCACCTATTATATTTTTTTCCTTTCTTTTTTTAATTTTTTTTAATAAATTACTTTTCATTAATTATCACTAACCGAAAAAGAATTATTTGGTGCAAAAGAAAACGTGCCAAAATCATACTATTTATGTTTATATGGCGCGGTAATTGGCACAATTCTGATCCATTGCTGAATTACAGTGCTAATAGTTTAGCGTTGGCTTACCGAACCAAAAAATTAAATACATGGTGCCACCTTCGCACCATAAATGATGTTTACAGCCCTATTTCCAATTCTAAGACCATTGAGAGTTTTATTTCCGACTTTAACGGTACTGAGAGCTCTACTTTTGACTTTGATTCAATGAATAATCCTGACTATATGATTTTTAGTCTCTCTTTGGACAAACTCAGTTGGTTCGCTTCTAATATAAATTTGAGGGGTGTTAAAATATATTTTCAAAACATATGTATTATATTTGTGATAGTTGTCTTATTTAAAATTTTTGTAAAATTTTTGTCTAATTTAAAAGATTTCTAGGGTCATTATAAATATATACATATTTTTATTATTTATATATTGAATTTCATATTCCCATTCTAACAAAGATGAAAGATCATATACGCGGCACGGACTTAGAAGTGGCACTAGAAGGAAAAAAATAAAAATTGAATGAAGTTCTCTACAAGAAAATGGACATAAAGGTGATGAGTGTGATTCGATTTACCTTTTTGGAAAGCGTCATATTTCACACGTTCAAGGTAGAATCAACGAGAGAAGTTCTGAGGATCTTGCCTTTAGGAATAACCATTTGTTTAGGGCCGGCTTGGAGTTTTCTTAAACCGTGAGTAAAAAATAAACTATAGACTCTATAAAGATATTATTAAATTTATTTTTAAAATAATATTAACGATAAATATAATAAAAAAACTGTACAAAAATAAAAATTATGTTCATTATATATCCAATAAAAAGTCATAAGAATAAAATATATCCTTAGTGAAAAATAAATAATATCATGATTATTGTAAAAATCAATAGTATAATAATAACAACAATAACAATAATACTATGAACTCAAATTGTATTTTTCAGGGTAAAATCTTTGTACAAATAAAGATAAACAAAAATATATTTAAATTAAATTTTAATGGGTGGGACGTGCGGGTGAGAAAGAATGGAGATAGGAGTGAAAAAAAGTTGTTCAAATCTAATTTTATAATTAAAATTAAATTGAATAATTGTAAAAAAAAAAATAAATAAATAAGATCTAAAATCTAATTAAAATATAATAATCTAATAATAATAATAGTAATGAATAATGATATAAATTTTAAAATTATGGACCTTCTTACAATAGAGCCCTGAGCACTTGCTCATATTGCTACCCCTAAGAACCGGTCTATAGAAATTCAAGTTCAAATATCGGATTTTGAGCCAAATCTGCCTTAAGTGCCAAAAATAAAAATAGATCCCAGATGGGGGAAAAAGTCAAGATTGGATGTTAGAAATCGTATGCGACAAATATTCATATTATAAAATTGCAAATAACATACAATAATCAAAGCCAACAACAACAAATAATAATAATAATAATAATAATAATAATAATAATAATATCATTTTCATCATCAAGATTATGAATGCATCGTTTGGAAGCATTTGATTTATTTTGAAAGGTATTGATGTATGTGTGAAATTCATTGGGCCTTTTGATTAATTTTAGTTGAAGGTTTATAATTTGTTTTAGTGGTTAAGTAATACAATTATATAATGACAATTTTCATACAAGATTAATTAAAATACGAAGAAAATAAATTGCAGCAATGCATCAAATACATCATCTTGATTAATTTTTAAAAGTTGGTTATTAAAGAAATACAACCTCTTCATCAAATTCCAATAGTTCAATTTATTTGAGTGATCAATGGTTGGCCTTACTAGAATCCTATTTCTCTAAGCTTCTCTTCACAGATTGCATTGAGCTTTCGAACCATCTCATCCGTCAGATGATTCTTCCAATCTCCAGTTTTGCCCTGACGAAAGAATGAACTATTCTGTATACCTGAATACGATAGTTTGCCATTCTTGTTGACTTCAAGGTTGCTCAGATTCTCGAAGCTGCAAAGCTTAATAATATCCTCTACCAGGCCAGATTCTTCTTCATCGGGTGAGAAAGGACAATCCAGGAACTCTGCCAGCCGCCGCAAATGCATAGTAGGTTGCTCTTTCATATCCTCGTACTTGAGGAAATAAATCCTATCAGGATTTTCCTTGCTTTGCTTCCAGTAATCAAGCATATGTCTCCAAAATGGTCCGTACTCATTAACACCTTGGCAAAAGGCTTTCAGAGTTTCCACAAGTGAATTCGGATCCAATTCCTTCTTAGTATCTTCGAGCTTCAATGAGCTCCAAAAGTGGTACGACGAGACGACTGTGTCCTTGGGATTTCTACACAAGTACACAATTTTACAGGTGGAATTGTCTCTGATGGACTCAGGTAAAGCAGTCCAGGGCATATGAGTGGAGAAAAGCCTGGGAGAGGATAAGTGGTCCAAATTAGGGTTTGGGGTCTTGAGGTAGGTCTCCATCTCCAAGAAAGGTACGAGGTCGTGTGAATTGGTGGTGCACAGAGGGTGATTTTTGTCGATGGGAAATCGGCGGCGATTCAGTAGTGCGAAGAGAAGTGCTTTCAGCCAGGTGGTGCCTGATTTGGGATAAGTTACGAGGAAGATGTCGGAAGATTGAGAATGGAAGTGTCGTTGACAGGCAAGTACACCTTGGAGAAATACAGCAGGATACCAAAAACCCTCGTGCTCGTAGTTATTAGGTGCGAACAATCCCTTTTTTTTGGGAAGATTGGATATGAAGGTCTTCATTTCTTGGCTCAACTTGTCTTCATCTTGCATGAACTCTAGTAGCCAAGCAGAGGGTTCATCGAACGACATTTTTTTTTTTTTTTTTGTTTCCAAAATTTTTGGGGGATTTTTTAAGTGTGAGTCTTGGGTAATTGATTTGGATTCCGAAAGTGGAGAGTATAAAGAGTAAAAGCTTAAGGAAGTTCGACAAAAGAAAGATTTTTTAGTTTTAATATTTTTCTTGTATGGACTTGGGTTATAATATGGTTTTGAAATTGTTGCGTTTAAATAGAAGTTTGGTGGGCATCTAATTATGAACAAGAAAATAAAATTACAAAATGCTTGCCTGCAAATTAGGTAAGTAATTGGTAGAATCATTTTCTATATATTGTTGGCTTGTAATTACCATTTTTTTTAAAAAAATGTATATTATATTTTTAAACTATTAGGCAATTATTGAGGATTGATTTGACTTTTTCTTTTTATAATGCACAAATCCGACGAATACACTCTGGAAAATACCCTACAAAATAATTCTCTTTTTTTTTTCTTTTTTTTTATTTATTTGTTCTTTGCACAAAAAATTATTGATATTTATTTTATTTCAAGTGTTTTAGTATTTTCTCTGCCTCAATTAAATATGATAATTTGGAATTATGTCATGTGATAAGAAAAAAATATATTTATTTTTTTTTATTTAAATGATGTGATAGAATAAAATATAGAATAGGAATTTAGTAGGCTATTCTCAATTTATGTTCTTATATTTGATTGTCTTTTCAAATCATGTCCCTCTAATATTAATTTTGTAAAGTATATCTTTAATTTTTATTAATCAATATCAAATGTAGTCTAATTATCAATTAGAGGATAATTAGTGAATATTTATGAATTTCTCTCTCTCCTTTGTTTAATGTTTCTCTCACCATCTTTTTTATGATGATTATTATTATTATTATTATTATTATTATTATTTGCATTAATTAATATTAATAGTATATAATATAATTTCTGGTATAATATAATGATATTTTTAAAAAATAATATATATTTATTATATTTTTATAATAATACTATATTTTAAAATAATTAAATACATTAATTTCATTTGGGTAATTTGATTTAATCTATATTATATCACACAATTATCTAAATTCAAAATTTTACTATTCAAATCAAAACCAAAAACAAAAATCCTAACTAAACACATATTTTTCTTTTATCGAATATATTAAATACAATTTTTATTTTTAAATCATAAATTAATATTCGTGCTATAATCATTATAATTTCAAACTTTATTCTAATTTTCTGATAATTTCAATTTAGATAAAATTATATATAAAAAATTCTTTAACATTTCAAATATATTTCTAAAAGCAACCAACCACACCTTTATATTTGAATTTTTGGTGTGCTTTTTAGAAATATATATGAATGTTTTGTTGTTTTTCTAGGGAGATTATGATAATTATAGTAACCAATATTAATTGATATTGTAAAAATAAAAATTACATTTAATACATACAATAAAAATAAAATAAAATAAAATAAATTTGTGTATTTATTTGTATATGTATTTTTTCTTTTAATTACAATTTAAATTTTAGAATTTATAATATATTTAATTTTAATTAAATAAATTAATTATGTTAATTTTAATGTATAGTTATTTATACTAATATATATTTAAAATTATTTCCTAATTATATTTTTGCTTAAATTCTTATATCATCGGAAAATTAAACATTTAAGGGTAGGACCAAAAGAATATTATTTATATTATTTTTCATGTCATTAGAAAATTAAATATTTAAGACAGGATGAATAGAATATTAGTTATACTATTTTTATATAAGATTTATTTTATTATTTGTGTATATCTATGAGATTTGGTTTGACGAAATAAGTGATACACATTAGTGGAAAATTTATAGAAAACTATTTAAATATTATTTTTTTTTAATTAATATCAAATACTCCCCCGTCCCAAATATTGTGAAACATTTTATTTTGGCACGGGTTTTTAGGTGAGTAGTATTAAGTATGATAATTTATTTTTTATTTGGATGATATGAAGGGATAAAATGTGGGGTAGAGATTAAGTATAATTAATTATTTTCTATTTTTGAAAATATTACAGAGTGTTTGAGACGTACCAAAAATGAAATGTTGGAAGATATTTGAGACCGAGGGAGTATCAGTTATGTAAAATATAATTTTTTTTTTCTAATAGTTTAAAATAAATCGAGTATAGATTCCAATTTATTGGAATACTCAATGCAATTTAAATAATTAAATAGTACTAAAAAAATATTATAATGAATAGATTTTCAAATAAATATTTTATTAATTATCTATAATTATTATTAGCATACAATAAAATTAGTTAAATACATTTGTGACCTCAAATAATTTTTCTTTCTTCAATTTAAAAGTATTGTTTTTATTATTTTGTTTCTCTAAAAATTATTTATTTGGCGAAGTGGCGTTAAGCATTCCTAGCGGTTTATTATACTCTATTTGTTCTCTTACCTTGTCCGATTATAATAAATATAATTACTAAATAATTAAATATCTATTAGTAAATAATTATTTTATAATATAAATAATTATAAATTGAAATTAAAATAACGAGTTAGTTTAATTAAAATTTAAAAAAATATATAAATTAAAAATTTGAAAATAAAATTTTAATGTGCAATCATTTTTAAAAATGAAATAACATGAGATATTTGATGGATATAAACGGCAATGTGGTCACGATGCGTACGTGAGACGGAGAGAGTAATAAAAATTAATCACATATTAATATCAAAATACTCTTAATTTTTACATAAATTGCAAATATACCACTATATAAATCATTACTTTATGTATAATAAAGGACAAAAATATTAAAATTATTTTATATATTTCCACTCATCAATCAAATAACAGAAATAATTTTTAGTACAAATACTGAAAATACTTCATTGATGTGAGACCAAAAAAATACTTCCTCAGTCCGAAAATAGTTGTCTTGTTTTTCCATTTCCGTCTGTCCTAAAACAATTATCTTGTTTTCTTATTTATTAACTGCGGTCTCCATTTTATAAAATTATTTCTACTTTTCCAAACTACCCATAATTATTATTCTAATCAACTTTTTAAAATCGTAAGGACATTTTAGTTTTTACATTCTACATTATACCTACTTTCAATTAAAAACTATTATTCCTTAATTCTCGTGTCAAACACCCAATAAGACATCTTTTTTGGAACGAATGAAGTATAAAATATTAATTTACAATATGTTGTATATTTATTTACATAGGTTATAATATTGAATTTTAAAATTTAATACATTTTGTGCTAATAAACAACACATAAATACATTACCTCAACTTATATAAATAAATTTGCATCAATTTCTTTCTTCTTTTTTTTTTTTTTTAATATGTATATCAATCTATAGTAAAAGATGCCGATTTCATATCCCACTTTTATTTTTTTCATTAAAAATATACTAAAAATAGAAATAATAAATATTTCCGGCACAGATCTCGAGGCCTTATTTATCTTTGATTATTTTCCAAATATAAATAATTAAAGACATGCAACGGTTTTGGCGAGTGAAATATTTTAAAAAATAAATAAATAATTTTTAATATATATATGCATAAATAATAAAAAACGTGTTTTTATTATAATTTTTTATTCAAGAATTAATTTCAAGTGCAAAGTTTCCAGTCAATTTTTTTAATTATTATTATTTAATTTTTATCGAAAAAAAAAAAGTAAGTTAATATTATTGAAACTGGTTGTTGTTATGAATATCACAGCGCCATTCCATACCAATTATTAGGCCACAATTATTTATCTATTTTTTTTTAAGCAACGTTAATTTTTTTAAAAGTTACTCAAATTGTTAAAAATAAAAATATATTAGTTTAAAAAAAAACATTATTATTTATATTATTTTGTTAATAAGAAAAATACATGTCTAAATAAAATCAAAATTGAAATTAATAGTTTTTAAATAAACTAAAATTAAAAAAATTGAAATAAATAAATAAATATAAAGCGCCACTTCAAATCAAAACTAAACCGACAAATACAAATTAAAATAATGACTTAAAAAGTTCATGTTTGACTTGTGATTTTAAATTGTGACAGAGAATTTGAACTGTTAAAGAAAACTTAATTTATTATTTGAAATAAATATATATAATTTTAGTATTATTTCTTATATATAATTTTAAAATATTTTTTTATTTAAATCTATTCTTTTCTTTCTCAATATTTATTTCATTAAAATTTTAAGTATATAAATAACAGTAAATAGTTATTATTAATATAAATGAAATAATAATATATTTCTTTAACGTTTGTGACTTTGTATCAACGAAAATCGCAATAATTTTATGACTTAATTAGCTATAATATTTTTAATTACGACGAATTTAAATTTTTAAATAATTTTTAATTTTTAGCTACAAATATTCCTAACAAATATTCCAACACGGTCATGTTTAAGTCAATACAACTGTATTCAGTCCCAGTCCTGGTCAATTATCATTTTGGGACTAAAATTAATAAATTTTTATTTGAATGAAACCAAGATTTAATAAAAAAAAATTCAATTATACTAAAATTGATAATTATAATATTGAATTTGATTAAAAATAATTGTTGCTCTTCTTAAAACTTTTTAAAAACATTGAAGTATTTGATATAAATTTTAAAAAGTTCTTAAAAAAACTTTTAGATATTCAGTCATTCATAAATTGTGTACATGGTAAGAAATTGCATGTACAAATTTTTTACTGATTACCCAAAATCTCGAAGGATTTTCAAAAGTTAAAAGAATATATTACTATTTTATTTATATTAGTAACTATTTACTATTATTTATATACTTAAAATTTTAATAAAATAAACGATAGAGAAAAAAAAGAAAAGATTTAAATAAAAAAAATTGGCAATTATTTTAAAATTATATATATAAGAAATAATACTAAAATTATATATATAACTAATAAATTAAGTTTTCTCAAATAGTTCAAATTGTTTGTCACAGTTTAAAATCGTAATTTTTAATCTGTCGAAAAGTCAAATATGAACTTTTTAAGTCATTATTTTAATTTGTATTTTTCGAGTTAGTTTTGATTTGAACGGGCAGTTTATATTTATTTATTTATTTTAAATTTTTCTTTTCAATTTTAGTTTTATTTAAAAACTATTAATTTGAGT